CTTGGGGGGTGTCCGACTAACGGGGAGCAGACCTAAGCCATTAGTTGGACATCAGTGCTGCTGTGGAGGTGGGAGAGCTCCTGCCACCACCGCTGTGTTGGCCAACCATGAGCTGGCTTCTGGCTGAGTAGTGCTCTTCCTTTGGAAGTGCATTGTCTACCAGGGGGCAGCTTCTGCATTGAGCATCTGCCCCCTGGTTGTCAGTGTGTGTCATAGTGACCGGTCATTTCTGGTCGTTCTGCTGTTAGGGTCAATTTGCATATTACCCTTTTATTATATATTTTAGAAGATATCTATGTATATAAAAGCCTAATATGCAAACTGTCCCCTTGGGAGTTCGATGGACCGGGAGTTTGATCGCTCACTATGATGTGCGCTGACCACAAGGGGACGGCATGGAACGAAGGAAGGCCCAGGCCAGAGCCAGGGAATGGAGGCCCCAGCAGGCAGCCAGCAGCCACTGGGGATGCTACCTGTGCAAAAATTTTGTGCACTAGGCCTTTAGTGTATATGTATGTGTGTGTGTGTCTATATATATATATATATATAGAGAGAGAGAGAGAGAGAGAGAGAGAGAGAGAGGGAGAGAGAGAGAGAGAGACCTGTGCAAAAATTTTGTGCATAGGCCTCTAGTGTATATAGAGATAGATAGATAGATAGATAGAGAGGGAGGGAGTTTTATTCTATCATTTATTGCCCTTTTACCTTTTAAAATTTGATCTAACTTTGACAAAAAAGCTAGAGATCTTTTTAACAACTAGAAAAGAATAAAGGTTATTTTGCTTTATACATACATACATACATATATAGTTAACGTTCTATACCAGCATTCAATAGAAATATAATACAAATTATATTTAATGTAAAAATATTTTGCAGGTACGTAAAAAGTGGAATTAATTTTAGTAACACATTTTACTAACCAAATATTTTTTATCATGTTAAATGTATAACAATGAGTTATTTTCATATTCTTTTTAAATACTGTCTTTAAAATCCAGTGTGCATTTTGCGTTTATAGTACAGTGCAGTTTGGAATAGTATGTTATTTTGTTATGTGAATTCTTATTAATCCTCACCCAAGGATATTTTTTCCATTGATTTTTAGATGAGTGAAAGGGACGGGGAGAGACAGAGACATCAATGTGAGAGAGACATCAATTGGTTGCCTCTGACACATGCCCCAACCCTTACCAGGCCAGGATTGAACCTGCAACTGAAGTACTTGCCCTTGACCAGAATCAAACCCAAGACCCTTCAGTCTGTGGGCCAGTGCTCCAGCCACTGAGCCAAACCGGCTAGGGCTGTGAATTAATTCTTTTCTTGAATGAGAGCGTGTTCGGGTTTCCTAAGACCCACACCCGTGCTTGATGGACACACAAATCAGAGAAAAGCTGTTCAACTCACGATTATCGTAGATTATAGCAAAAAAGTACAGATTAAAATCAGCAAAGGGAACAGGGCATGTAGGGTGGAGTCCAAGAATAAGTATGTGTGAGTTTTCAGTTATCCTCACCTAGTGGATTTAGTTGCATGGGCAGTGCTTCAGTCCTCCAGCCGCCTGTGTGATAACCTTACATATGCGGTGATGTCAACCAGGAAAGCTTACCTGGTTCTTGGTGTTCAGGGTTTTTATTGGGGGTTAGTTTCGTAGGTGTGGACATACCCACATTATTGTCTTTAGTTGTTCATTTGCAGCTTCTTTCTTCTCTCTTCTATCCAAAGGTCAAAGTGATATAGTGTGGCCCAAACCTGAGGCATACAAAAACAGCCATTTACCATATTTTATATTATTGACGTAAATTATCTGGTATGGCCCAAGATCTCAGGTATACAAAGAGACTTATCAGGCAGGATATTCCAGGGGCTCAGAGATTATCTCCCAGAAACCTGTCAGAGGCTAATCCTTTCTTTGGAATGTTCAGAGTTTGAGCCCCCAAGCTTGAAGAGTTACCCCTTTCCTGCACAAATTCTGATGCCTTACAAAAGAAGGTGTCTCTAGTATAAATTCTTATAGGAACAAAAGGGTAGATGAAATTGGCAGTAGCTCAGTTCACTTTAAATACCAAGTATGTTTTAAACAAATGGTAAGGATTATAAAGGCTAACTATGTTCTGCAGTTACAGGTTTCTTAGTTGGAAAAAACTCTTAAAATTTACTGACTGCTTCCTATAAATTTATCTTGCTTGTTGAAATACACATATTATCTCATCTAAACCTCCATTTCTGCCTATGATGGAGCAACTTGTGTCAGACTGAGGCTTCTGCTGAGAATAGTTGATAAGGTAGTGAAAAAATTAGTTTGACGTCGTTGGAGAGCCTCTAAGTCAATCAAGAGCTGAAGAGACAAGATTCAGGAGAGAAGGGAGATAGATAGACATACTCTGTGCTGCGTTCCCTCTTGTCATGACCCGAGAGGTGCAGACAAATGACTTGAAAGAAGTGATCAATAAATTGATTCCAGATAGCATTGGGAAAGGCGTAGATAAAGCTTGTCAATTTATCCACTCCATAATGTCTTGGTTAGAAAAGTCAAAATGTAGAAGCCAAAGCTTGAATTGGGAAAATTCATGGAGCTTCATAGTGAAGGCAGCAGTTCTGAAAAGTTACTAAGGATGAGACAAGTGCTAAAGTTGAATGAGTTGATGGGTATGAGCCCCCAGTCCAATACTCTGCTTAAAATTCAAACATTTACTGGTGACAAATAAAAAATCCTATTTGTGGGGGGAAAAGAAAAGAAGAAGAAAGCTGTCAATTATATTTTGACATCCCATTAACCTCTAGAGTGCCGGGGAGCGCGGTTGCACTCCTCCTGTCTTTCCCCCAAAGTTCCGGGAATGCTATCGCGCTCCTCCTGCAGTGTCACTATTAGATGCTAGTAGTTCACTCTTTATTGACAGATGGCACCTAAGTGCAGATTACTTATGATTCTGAATGTTTGTAGTTCTAAAATTGACCACTGGCATTTATCTGCCTAATTTTCATAATTTTTTTCCTAAACTGCTGTAAAATCAGCAAAAATGCCTTGGCAATTTTAGCATAGTTCCTAGGATATTGGTTGGCACTCAAAGGGTTAATTGTGAGATACATCCTGATTTCAGAGATGTGAAAATGTGGGGGGAAAAGGAAAATGGTAATTCTAGTTTTAAATCTCAGTTCTATCATTAATTTTTTGACTTCAGTCAGGGAACTTCTTTGAGCCTATTTGTGTATTTGTAAAAATGAAATAGTGTAGTCTACTCCTTAGAGTTAGGAAGACTACATGAGTTAAGAAATACGAAAGTGTGAGGGAGGCATTTGATACCATTTGGCATTGTTATGATAATAGAAGGAGACTCCTGATAACCAATCAAAGAAAAAAACAAAACAAAAACAAAAACCACACACCAAAAAAACAAACAAAAAAACTCCACAAAACATACCCCCAATATCTTGGCTAAATGAAAATTCCTGTTTCACAAAGTATCAAACATCATTCATTATTCTCTCCCCTACCCCTTCACCTCCTCCTATCTAAAGATACCATTGACTGGTTATAATATAACTAGAGGCCTGGTGCATGAAATTCATGCACAGGAGGGGGGGGGGTGTCCCTCAACCGGACCTGCACCCTCTCAAATCCGGGAAATCCCTCTAGGCCTCTGACCACTGGTTCCTAACCACTCACCACTCACCTGCCTACCTGCCTGATCACCCCTAACTACTCTGCCTGCCTGTCTGATTGCCCCTAACCACCTCTGCCTACCTGCCTGATCGCCCTAACTGCTCTCCCCTGCTGGCCTGATCACACCTAACTGCCTCTGCCCCTGCCTTAGCCCCACCACTGTGGCTTTGTCCTGAAGGACGTCCAGAAGGTTGTCTGGAAGATGTCCAGTCTAATTAGCATATTATCCTTTTATTAGTATAGATGATCATTGTTTATAACTAGTGACCCAGTACATAAAGTTCGTGCACATTAAAAGGGAATTAATTACAGGAAATATTTTAATATTGCTATTTTCCCTTCCTCTATAATAGAAGTATCAGAGATGAAAGGAAATTAGTAAAATGTATATGAAAATCTTCCTCCTATAAGAGTCTGGGGCATGCCATGGGAACCAGAGTCAAGTCCCCGCCCACCCACATGCTCCTCAAAATCACGCGAGACCCAGACCAAGCCAGCCCCATCCCCATTGGGCTAGATCCAGACCTGGCCGGCCCCACCCGCGTCAAGCCCCACCGGGTGGGGGGCACAGCCTCAGGTTGCCTGGCTCAGCGCTGGGGTGGGGGGCGCGGCCTGAGGTCCCCCTCAAGCTCTGCCAGGTGGGGGGCGCAACCTCAGGTCCCCCGGCCTGGGGTGGGGTGCATGGCCTGAGGTCCCCTGTCAAGCCCCCTCTGTCAAGCCCCACCAGGCGGGTGCGCAGCCTCAGGACCCTGCCTCAACCCAGTGCTATGCAGCCTCAGGTCCCTGTTAATTGCTCGTTAAGGCTCGTTATGGGAACTCAGCCTGTACTGTGGGCACAGCCATCTTGTGTTATGGAATCCCTGCCTCCACTGTGGGTGCAGCCATCTTGACTGTTAAGGCGTGATGGTCAATTTGCATATTCTCTTTACTAGTTAAGATGATAGAACCTACGCATCAAAATAGTGTTAATATTTTCTCTATATTGGTTTTTTAAAAACATGTTTTAGGAACATTTTCTATACTAAAAATAATTGTGATACTAGAATCTCAACCTCTAGTTTGTAGAATTCTTGCTCTTCTGATGATTCTATATAAATATATTAATTTGAGTGAGGGGATTTTTTAAGGAAGTGGTTGGATTTTATGATATTTGGCAGAAGTGGAAATGTCTCATTATTTTCTGTTTTGAAAATTGTTAATAAATGTAGAACATTTTTCTTGAGCTGTAAAGTATTCATGGCTTTAATTTTGTGTTCATTCTGTTCTGTTCTTTCAGGATATTTCAAGTCACATTGAATCGATAGGATGAAAAAATTTAAGAGAAGGCTATCCCTCACACTTCGAGGAAGCCAGACTATTGACGAATCATTGTCTGAATTGGCTGAACAAATGACTATTGAAGAAAATAGCAGCAAGGATAATGGTAAATATTTTAACGGGGGGGGGGGGGTGTGTGTGAATGCTTTTGGTTTATAAATAGAATGCAATTTACTTTCCTGATAGCTTCCTTTTGTTTATTTTTTCCCTGTGGGTCCCTAATTCTTAGGAAATGAGACTGCACAACTTGCTTGCTTGCTTACTGGAATGTTCCAGTCTTACTCCAAGTACTACTGTACCTGGTCTCTAACTGTGATGAATTCTGTCCCATTTATCTTTCCATTTTTATTGGTTCTTAAATAAGAATACCTTGTATAATAATATCCTAGTTAAGTAACTATTTTTAAATTAAAGTTTAAGTATTTTTGTTATTCTTGTAACCTGTTAAAACAGCTTAAAAGTGCATAGTAAGAATGTGAAATTTGTTTGAGGCTTCATTATAGTTTATAACTGTATGTATGCATGTTGACTATTAGAAGACAAAGTTCAGCCCTAGACGGTTTGGCTCAGTGAATAGAGCATCAGCCTATAGACTGAAAGGTCCCGGGTTTGATTCTGTTCAAGGGCACATGCCCAGGTTGGGGCTCGATCCCCAGTATTGGGCATGCAGGAGGCAGCTGATCAATGATTCTCTCTCATCATTGATGTTTCTGTCTCTCCCTCTCCCTTCCTCTCTGAAATCAACAACAAAAAAAGGAAGACAAAGTTCATTACATAAGTGAATCTTACTGTTTTCTTATTTTATATTTACCATAGAATCTGCCCTAGTATTGAGGGCACTTATAGTAGATAGGCATATAATGTTTCACACATTTGACAGTTCTTTTTATAATGTAAAGTAGTACCCAGATGTAGATATAAAAAGAGCTTGTTAAATTGAGTGGATTAAAATGCAAATTCCTGCTAAAATTTATAGAATAAGACTACATACTCAAAACTGAGCTACTCCTAAGGAAGTCATTATACAATCAGAAAGGAGCTTTCAGTAATTTCTGCTGCTGTTGTGATATGAAGATTCTTTGGTAAGCCTTCTATGTCTGTGCCTGAAATTATTCCATGAGAGATTTCTGGTAGTGGGTGAAAGCATGGATATCCTTACCCCCTCCAGCTGAATGCAAATGTACTTGTTGTGGGAGACAACAAGAAAATGGAAAAGGCTCTGTCTGGACTTTAAGTTAAAACTCATGGGTAGAATTTGGGGTGTACTAACACACTTATTAGTTGTATGACTCTGGGTGAGTAATTTATTCTACCCAATATTCAGTGTATCTCTTTTCCTCTAAAGGGTCATTATTTACTCAAGATTATGTGGCTCTTTGTAATATGGGAGAGGAGTTATACATGAATATTTTAGAAAATTTAATTTTTAATGTAATTTACTTACATTTAAGAGGGAAACATTTTGCATTTGGGTCAGATCTCAAAGATGGTTTTATAATGTCTTAACTTTTACTCTTTCCAGGAACAAAATTTTTCATTCTCTCAGACTCTCTTTGAATTCTTATTAATTAAGCCTAGTGCGTTAATTATTATGATTGAAGAATCTTGCCAGCTATTTTCCAGTGATGTGCAGGAGTAAAATAAGCACAGTATATATCTTGATGGATGCTTTTTGGGACACATTTATATTATGTGCAATATAGCTAATTAACATATTAATTGCAAATTTTGTGGGATATTTAGGTCAAAATGTTGTAAAACATTCTTAAATTATAACATAGTGAAACGTTGGAAATATTTTTTTCAGTAGTACATATTGTTTACTTTATTAACACTTTGTTTTATTATAATAACTTTAACAGGTAGTAACGAAGGAAAATAGTAACTCTCTTGAGTTTCCCTCTTAGCCCAACTTACTTGAAATAATACTTGAAGATGTCATAATAGACACTGATTCCTCTTGAGTTGCAGAGCTTGCTGGTAACATAGGCTATCTCTGAGTTATAATCTGCTGTTTCTTATTACCTATGTGTAACAGCACATAGATTTAATCAAGAGCTTTGACAAAGATTCTCTACCTTTTGGGTCATCTATCAGTTCCTGATAGTTGGTTCCATCATATTCTTACGTTATGGAGTTTATCTTAGAGCATAAAAAGTTCCTAAAATAGATGACACACACAGTCCACTTCTGAACATGGTTTAATGAATCTTCTTTAAATGATCTTCTCACATATGATGTAACCAGTTTATGAAGCAAGTGAGCTTTGTTTAATACCCAGGTAGTGGCAATGCCCGCTTTGGGAGGAGGATGAATTAGTTTATAATTTCCCTATGTAAACTGACTTTGAACCTGTATTTGATCTCCTGTATCTTGTTCAGTCACATTCATGAGCACAATCCTGTTAACTTTTGCATTATGTATAGGTAGGTGGTTCTCATGCATACTCTAGAACAAATTGAATGGAGGATATGGGGATAATAGTATAAAAATCTTGGAAAAATTATGATGCATTTGGTTACTCATATATGCATATATACTGTCACTCATATATATTTTACCTCCAACCAAATAGAATTTGATATACCGTATTTGCCAGCGTATAAGACGACTGGGCGTATAAGACGACCCCCTAACATTTCCACTCAAAATACAGAGTTTGTTATATTCTCGCCGTATAAGACTACCCCCTCTTCCGCACACCTTCCACACACCAAATAAAAGGTAAAACAATATCAGATTTGATTTTAACATTTTAATTTA